TGTCTAACTCCCACTTGTGCCCTTTAATATTCTGAAGCAAGTCAAACTATTTTAGGTGCCATTTGCTGCTTGCGTGTGTCCAGTGCATATCACAACAGAGCTAAACTGCTCTGATTGTAACCTTCTACATGACATAATTATCTTTGAGTTTGAGATAAAAACATTTTTTAATACCACACTGAATGACAGAGGTAGAGAATGAGGGGTTTGACAGCTGACAGGTTGTGATTCATACTCAAACTGACAACTTTGTCAACATGAAGCATGTGTTTATAGCCAATAACTCATAGGTATTTAACATCACAGGGCAGTACATTGTGAGCTCCAAGTTGGAATACATTTTCAGAAATCAGGATGACCTTTTTCGAATTTCTTACAATAGTCATAGTGACAGATAGAGTAGCTAAAAACGTACTTTAGCCCAGGCGCAAAACCACTGTCAAATGATGAAAAGGAAGCAAGTATTAATGAAGACGTAAACATAAAGAGGCAGTCAAATCTTGGCAGCCAGCTTGCGTTCTCCTATACTATCTTATATTTCATCAGCTTTCACCCTCCACCACCATATGTACAACACATAATATAGATGTTTTTTATTTATATTTCATCAAACAAATTATGATGGTGATGACAGGCAGACATTCTATTTGACTAAGAGCTGTTTTTTGCTTAAGTGCTGTTAAAGATATTTTTGCAATAAGTTTGTTCAAATTCAATAAACCCCCAAAACTATTGAAGCTGACTAGAAAGCTGAACATCTAGTGACTGGCTGTGGGGGTCTGATGCAAATAAGAGAGTTGCGCTGAATAATCTGGTTGGATAAAACACAAATGCACAAAAAACATTATTTATAACAGCATACCTCTCAAAACTAGGCAAATACAGTACTCTCAATCCTTTTAAACAGGTACAAAAGAGCTATTTGATTATGCTATAATTCCTGAAACCATTTACAACAGCAAAAAAGAAAAAAAAAAAACAATTACACTTCAACACTAGGCAGACACTGTTAATCAAAACTGAGATCCATTAAATTACCAATACTCCAACTACAAGTCCCCAGACTCAAACAGCACAACATTCACATGTTCCTACAATAATCATGATTTACTGAACGAAAATAGGCACAGACACAGAAGCTAAGGAGATATGGTCAGTTTTTAGCTGAAGGATTTCCCGAGTGCGGTATGATTTAGCAAAGAAGGGAACTTGCAGGGTTCTTTAAAGAATAAGCTTTCAGATATAGGAAACAGGAAGTTACTCTGAAGTTCTGACTATCCCTCGAGGGTTATTCCACTATTAGAAAGCTAAGAGAAGTACAGACCATGTGGATGAGTGGAGCAAAATTTCCTGCGGGGAAGAATGAGCTAAGAGTCAGGTAATACGGCATGCTGCATGGGCCAGAACACTAGGATGGACCATGATCTGGATGTATGAGGTTATAGCTCTGCTAGCAGCATGGTTGAGTTTTCAGTTTGAAGCGGCTACATGCTGCAGATCTATTCCAGGGTCCTTGGCAAGTGGAAACTTGGTATCATTTATTCCTTCATCCACCACTTTCCCACTCCCCTCCTGTTTCTCCAGCCATCTAGCAGGAAGCCCATCTCTCCCTCTCTCTTTTTCTCTCCCTCTCAACCTTTCCCTCACTTAGCCACGTGGAGATGGATGGACAGAGTGTGCAGGAGTCCTTGGCTGAACTGCAGAAGTGCTGACGTGGCGCCAAGCCCTCTAACAGCGTAATGACGCCTCTATCTATCTCTCCATGATGCACTCTCTCTCCCTCTCAGATGCATACACACTCACAGGTGCATGTACAGATAGGTACTTCATAAAAAAAGGAACACTTACTAATGTAGGACTGCACATATACACAGAAAAGTGCACACATGCATACGTTATATCTGCACACAGATTTATGTGCTGTACGTAAAAATGCGCAAACACACACATGTACATGTGTACGTGCACATGTTAACAGCAGAACACACAACTCTCTATCACTGTCTATCTAATGACACCTTTATCACTCCATCCAGTCTCCTATACAATCAGCATCAGTCTCTATTGTCACACACAGACACTCAGATCACACTCCTACCATCACCATCACCATCACCATCACACAGATGCACCCACCTACACACACACACACACACACACATACACACACACACAGGTCAGCTCAGTGACGTTGGAGTGTGTATTTCTCTTCTGCCTGTGTTAAAGTGAGTCATCTATCCTTCCACAGCTTCATTACAACCTGCAAGGGCAAACACTATCTCTCGCTCCCTCTGCCTCTCCAGATGGAGGGGGAGGGCGATAGAAATATACAGTAGATAGAAAGTGAGCCCCCCTCCCTTTGTATCCCCCCTATCTTCCTCTTTCTCTCTTGTTCCCTCATCTCTATATTTATCTTCAGTCTCTATATCTATTGCCTTGTATCTATGTTTTCAATCACACGGTCTTTGTCTCTTCCTCGCTCACGTAGCCTTGAGCAAGTGCCAGTGTGGTTAAGCAGCTTGATGTAAACATTTTAACCCACTGAACAATGCAACAACATGAATGCAACAGGAGTAGAGAGGTACACGGACAGATATAATCAAAAGTATGTGGACACTCCTGTCTACATAACTATTTTTTTGGGGCATTATTTTTGAAGGTTTGGCCCAATTAAGGGGAATCTTAATGCAACAAATACAATGATAGTTTGAACCGTTTGGGAAACACTGTTTCAACACGACAGTGTCCCTAAGCACAAAGCGACATCTATAAAGAAGTGTTGATGAAGAACTTGACTTGCCTGCAGAGAGCCCTGCCACTGCCCCCTGAAGAGTGGAGGCTGTTATAGTTACACATTAAGTGTTTTTGGAATGAGATGTTCAAAATGTCACATATAGGTGTAATGTTCAGACAACCACATTGTGTATATAAACAGAATGATCAGTGTAGACATGCAAGGTTAAAAAAAGAGGTGTTAAATATGGAAAATTTAAAAGGTCATGTTTCTATAACGAGAGACAGGAGGAAAGGCAGAGACACATGAAAAGATAAATTTGCCGTGTTTCTACCTGCCTCTCACTGCTCTTACAGAAAGCTTGTAGAAAGCTTAAGTTTTTGTGGCCCTACAGAAAGCATGAATAATGCATCAGTGAAACCTCTTATTCTCTAAATTTTAAATGGCTAGCTGTTATCAAAAATAACCTGATCTGTGGAGCATTAGCAGACTTGCACGCAACAGAGTGACGTCTAGAGTATACTATAGGAAAGAGAAGAAACTTGGCCCAAGTTCCTTGCCAGTGTTCAGCAGAGCCATCTTAACTGCTCACCAAAACACAAAAGTTACATGATTGACACTTATTTATTTATGAATACATTTTCTAATTAGCATAAATGCTTTGGCTTATCACCAGGGCGTGAAATGTGTTTTCACAAAACACAGACTTTAGGTGTTTCAACTGGGACCCCAGAATAAGACAAAAGACAATGGGATGACTCACCAAAAGGTAGGAACAGGATTCAAACCTTGGACTCCCTCTACTGGTTCACAGAGCAGGCTGATTGAAAAGCCTCTGGAAATTGTTGCACTGTCGTGGCTCTTCAATGGAATCACACTGCTCAGCTGCCCTATGAAAATTAGCACAAGCAGTTAGAAGAGAAACCAGCCAAATGCTGAAACTCTGAATCTGGAGCAAACTATGCTGATTTTGTCTCTTATAATCAAACAATGGACCAGCTTTTAATCCTCTCAGTCACCACAAACAAAACACGTAAAAAGCAAGATGGCAGCCATAAGGGCAACATGAGATGCTTTTTTTAATGGTTTGGGTGAAAACAAAGGAAAATGTAGCTCAGCAAGGAGTTTAAGAGTTAAAACAATTAGTTATAAGATTCCTATTGATCCCTCCCCAAGGTCTCCTATCCAAACAACTACAGACAGGCTCATTACTCTAAAAGACAACCTCATAGACAGTAAGGACTGATAAAGCTGGATCAATGCCACTGATCAGTTCCCACCACAGTATTGATAAGCACACAGAACTAGAATAGACAGAAAGGGCATTCTCATTAAATGAAAGCTTTCAAACAGTCTTTTGGCTGCTATACACAAGGACTAACTTATGGGGTGTGATGTAATTATCCCCTCTGCCACAGTTTCAGGCAAGATAGTTGAAATCTCGATTCATTATAGCGAATTAATAATCCCTAAAATTAAATCGTTAAGGTATTTGGCCATGCAGTCAAAAGAGATGTGCATCTTTAACAAGACTAACAGTCCATATATGTCACGATAGTGGACCAGTGAAGCTGTAGTGCTCATTACACACCACAAAACTAGTGGTGGTGAAAATTGGAAACGTTGCTTCTCTTAGAGCTGTGCCACTGGTAGAATATAAAACATGTCAAGTTTGGCAGGTTCGGAGTCCATTTTTAGGGCCCACTGCTGTGATAGCCACTTAATTTCCACTTTCCAAGCCAAACAAGTTCACTGGCCCAGACTACTGCAAGTATGCTGAATGACTTTGAACCACTAACAGCTATCACACCCATCCTTTGTAAAACCATGGAGAGAGTTCTAGTCATCTAACATCCTCGGGGCTCACGCACTTAGACTCTCTTCAATTTGCTTACAAAGTCATAGAGGTGCAGATGGTGCACTGTTTATATGCCAGATTTTTATTGGTGGAACTTTCTTCAGCTTTTAACTCTTTAAAGACACATATATAAACTGAGCTCCATGTTGACAATATGATATAACTACTCCAGCACGGCTACTAAATGGACCTTGATGTGTCATTGTTGTTATTGTGCTGGCACACCGTGGTGGGATGGCAGAGGTTCAAAACAATAGTCCTTTTCAATTTTACTCTATTCTAAGAGGAGCCCCTACAGGCTCGCCTGCAGGCTGAAGCCTAGTTCCTCATATCTCTTCTTTACTCACCTGTCGGTTACAGAGTGTAACAGTCAAGTTACCTTACCGGGGTTTCTGTCACTTCATGTGGCGTCATGAATAACTTAAACTCCTACAGTACGCCCATGGGAACTGTGCGGAAATGTGAGCTTAGGGTGGATTGTTTGGCAACCCAGGCACTTCCCTCTCTTCAGCTACTACGCCTGCTACGCTAGTAGTAGCAACAGGCATGCTACTGTTAAATTGCAGAACTGAACATTAAGTAGGTTTATAGTTGTTGCTTTTTTCTCTGTTATCATGGGTGACTCGGACGTGGCCGGGGCCTTGACTCGCAGGAGAAGGGCGACTTTTGCGGCGGGGAGAGGCGCGAGTCTGCTGCCGATGAACGGGAGGTCTGCGGCGGTGCGTCAGAGCTCAGTGACCGCTGACATTAGCACAGTCAGTGGTCAGGGACAACGTGACGGTTCACTATCAAAGAGTGACAAAAAGAAACGCAAGAATGACATAAGTGACGGACTCTGGTGAGTGTCAAACAAACTGCTGAAGTTTAGAGTTTAGTTTGTTTTGTTAATTAAATATCCAACGTTAAGCTTCAAAAGGCCAATAGCTAACTATTTACTTAAAGCTAGTATTATTATTACAGTTTTATTAATGTCGGAGTTGGGTCAACAGTTGTATCACAGCCACGGTCGTGTAGGGTCGCCCCGAACAAGCCCCGTTGATTTTGTTTCTCTTGTCGCCCATTCAATCACAGATTCCCAATTTTTTTTAGCACTGCTTAGCAGAGTGACAAAAGCACTTAACCTGCATGGCTAGACCAGGAATACGTGTGTGTGTGTGTGTGTGTAATAGTAGTAATAATAATAATAATAACAACAATTTTCTGCTGATAAGGGACCACACCGATATTTTTATTATTGAGTGTAGGTTATTGTTTTTGCAGCTTTTATCTACTATCTTTTCTTCTTACCAAACTGCCAGCACATCTGGAGGTCAGTGTGTATGTGTGTGTCATGGCACACATTCTGTGACCTTCAATATCATAGTCTTTAACAGCTTAACTTTGCTCTGGTGTTCGACTTTCTCTGAATCCTGTTGCTAGCTATCTGCCAGTTTGTGCATGGATGTTACACGCCTCAGTGACAGAATAGTGTAGGTTCCTAAAAGAAATAAAAGAAAACTATTTGATGTGCAATGATGCAAGAGTCGAATGGATATAAATATCTGTTAAAGCTGGAGTAGGCAATGGTTGGAGAAACAAGCAAGAGACAGCTCTAGATTTTTAGAAGTATCAAAAGGAAAGAAATCCCACCCCCTTATTAAAAATACTCCCTCCAGAGCCACCCCTCCAAAACACATTTGTTCATGTGCATTGACTCCAGGGATAGAGTGCTTACAGGAAGGTAGACATACACATAGGCCAGCCAATCATTTCATTTATTTCATTCAGACCGAATGAAATGATTGGCCATGCTCATTACAGTCCTCCAACAGCCACAGATACCTTCATTTTTTGTGTCATGCCTAATCTAGCTTTAAGGTCACAATACTCTTGATTGTTTTACCCATTTCTCCATCACATTTTTTTCTGTAGCTGCCATAAGACACAGGAGTCCCTTCTGAGTTCAGCCAGTGGTTACAATAACTACAGAGGAATCCTTAACTGGTGTGTGATCATGCTGGTAAGACAAAAGTTTGCTCATGCACGCACACACACACACACACACACACACACACACACACAAGAAACACATGTATACACACCAAGGCCATGTCCAGCATTTATATATAAGTGATTACAGAGATAGAGTGGGACAGCACAAAGATGGGTTTACTTTAAACCAAGCAAAGGATTCAGCCACTTGTTGAAAATGTCTGTCCTTCAACACTTTTCTTGGTGGCCAACTAATAGAATGAGACAAACATATTTTTGTGTTTCTCTCTATGGTAAATCTACTGGCAAAGCATTTTAGTGTGCATAGCTAATTTTAAAATAATTATCTGAATAAAAATGCTAGTGTGGATTGAGAAGTTACCAGCTTTTTTATCTAATGTCCAGAAATCTCCTGTAAACACTGCTTCTATGTCCTTGCGCCTTTTCGTTTCTTACATTTTACAGTTTCTTCGTTTTTACTTTTTGCACATTACAGTGCAATCATACAATTTTCATAATATGTAAAAGGAACATATCAGTAAATCCCAAATGTGCAGTGACAGGAAGTAGCATTGTTATAATTCAGTTAATATCCCGTTTGTGCTCATCATCATCAAGAGAAAGTGAATACCAAGCAGAAAATCCACTGGCACGGATAGATACAATCACAACAACACAAAATGGCATGAAATAAAGAAGAATCAGTCCAAATTGTTCTATAAATTCCCACTTGTTTTCAAATAGACTCACTTTGTCTGATTTTGTGACAAATCTGTTTTCCTGCCAGCTTAACCACACTCCAAAAAAACGTAGCCTCAGCAAGGGGTTGTATTTGACATAAAGACGTGCTAACCCTATTCTGGTTTGAATCAAACATGTTGCAGTTGTAGGCAGATCATTTATTTTTTTATTTTTCATGAAATAATCAAAGCCAAATCTGTAGTTAAATGTGTTTTTTCTCAAAATGATGTGCAAGTGCTGTAAAATAATTCTATATGATTAACAAGTTTATGTCAAGCTCAACACCTTTCACAGCTTTCCCTCTTCTGTGCCAGGGAGAAGTGATAGAATAGGAGAGAATAAGAGAGGAGAGAAGGCTAACGAAGCCTTCTGTTAATCTAAGCTTTGAACACAGATCACTGTGTTCATCGCAGAAGGTTTTCCTTCAGTCCCACTGAACTTCTTTCCCATCCCCAGGCACAGAGCCTTTATGCTGCGTAATGAGATATTACAATCCATTTAGAAATAGGAAGAGCAAGGAGGAGAGATAAGAAAGAATGTGGGGAAGAGGAGGAGAAATAGGTTGAGCAGAGGAAAGAGATGAGGTAAAGGGAGAGAATGGAAAGAGGGGAGCAACAGAAGGAGAGAGAAAAGTATGGAGGAGGGGGCTGATATAGAAAGCTGCATTTATGCGATTAAAAGCGTAGAAATGACAATATGATCAAATTACAGAAACATACATGTAGAGCAATTAAGAGGGAGTATTGTCCAACAAATGGAAATACTTACACGAGACAGTCGGAGATCTTTGACTCATGCTTTATGTTACAGGTGCTGAGTAATGCTCGCCTCTTCTTAGAAAACTTGCTGAGGTGAGTAAGTCCGGGGGCTTTTGAAAAGCATGTTATTTTTTTATTCTAGTCTTTTTCACATTGACAATAAATTATTAATTGTTATTTCAAAAGGCTTCCTGTATGCTTGTTCCCAGTGTGTCATTCTTAAACAGAGATTCCAATGGTGTCAATGATGAAAGATATCAAACAGAAGTACCAGGTTCTCAGAAATTTCACAGACTTTACAGAGTGGTTTCACTAATCCTTAATCTCTTTTTTTCTCAGTTTTAACAACAGATCTTTTTCATCGCAAACATTTTGACATGTGTCAGAAAAGGCACAGGTGTAATTAATCCAAACAATAAGGAGTGCTATGATGTTCTGGGACTCCTAAAGTCCCCCTCCACTCAAAACTATGTTTCTCTTCTTGTTCCTACATTTGGGTGTTTGAGCTTCACTGTGCAGAATGATGTATGTGCAGACTTTGATTCCATCGGTGTATGAGTTTCAGTTTGAGCACCTAGGCTGAGTGTATGAATGTGTGTGGATAAATGCGATGTAGTGTAAAAAGCGCTTTGAGTGGTCGCAAAGAAAGGCGCTACCCAAATACAGATTAACATTAACATGAATTGTGACATCACAAATCGTTTGGAAGCCAATCCTGGTCCAATATGTAACCTATGTATAAGTGTGATGTAGAAAGTTGAAGCCACCAGTGCGCATACACTGAGAATATACATTATAGTGGAGCAGGAGACATCTTGTGTCCAGCAAAAAAACTTTAGAAATAAACTATCTATTTTATAAATTAAATCTTTATTATTATTTTATTAGTCACACTTGTGCTTTGCCTGCTATGACATGTCAAAATGTGTGCTGTAAAAAGTAAATATTTAATATATAAAATTAAACAAGTGCTGAGGTCAGTCGCTAACAATTTACTCAACTTAGAACATCCATCTTGTGTAGCAAATATGTGTGCAGTGTGTAGTTCTTTAGAATTTGAATTGTTTTTAAGATAATTTACTTCATTGTTGGCTTTAAAATAACACATATATTTTCAGTTAGATTTTTCTTTTTTAATCTGTCACTTCCTTTTGTCCGTTTGTTTGATTGTTTGTTTGTCAGGTACGGCATTCTTGTGGACCCTATTCAGGTGATTTCCTTGTTTCTGAATGATCCCTACAGCTGGCCAGCAGCATGCCTGGTGATTGGTAAGTAAACTTATCACCTGTCTAATAAGTCACCTGCTAGGAAAGCATCACATCACAAACAGGCACACAGTTCAACAGCATGATTCCTGTGATTGAGATCCAAACTGTTACATATTAGGAAAATTTGCTTAATTCATAAATAGTGTCACTTTCTTCAAATGAGCTTGAAAAGAAACCACATTTTATAAATGGGATGAAAATCGACAGATGTTAAACCAAAACGAGAATAACTCACAACCACCAATGCCAGATAAATGAAATGGGACACCTGAAAGTCAGATTCAGCTGTAAATGAAAATGTACATGAGCATAGCTCTACTAATACCATAGAAGTATATACATTTTAATCTAGCCATGTCTTTAAATTATACCATTGAGCCAGTGATGTCCAAGCAGCCTAGCAATAACACTTCAACATGAAGAAATACTACTTTTTGAGTATAAAATGTTTTTTTCTGAAAAGACATTTTAGATAATTGGGTAAAATAACTTAACTTTTTAAAGCAGTGAACAAGTTTCAAGTTTGTCCTTAAATAGGTGGTGTGTTCTGCCTCGCTTCCAGCCATGCCTTGTTTTAGGACACGCACAGGCAAATGCTATAGTCAAAGTTGTTTGTTTTTTTCAAATTTTATTTTTATGGTATATATCGCAGTGAAGGTCTGCAGTGGTGCAGCTCACAGCGTCTCTAGAGGGACAATCACCTGCCCTATATACTGCACACAGGTACTGTGCTGCAGAAAGAAGAGAGTGAGAGAAATGAGCAAAAGAGGAGAGAGAGAGATGGCGGGGGGACAGAGAAAGCTAATCTAAAGTGCTGCATCGACACAGGGCATGAGAAGAGGGAGGGAGAAAAGGATAGAAGGAGTTAAGGTAAATGACTGCACTGACAATGCTGAAGAGACAGGTGAGAACGGGAGTCTGTTTACAGTAGCATGGACAGTAAAGCAGCTCATTTCCAAAGGCCATTCAGTACTTCTAGAGTCACTGCAGCAATTTACGCACATACACTCCCACACAAATACCCCACCACAAAGTAAATGAGAAGTCTACAATTTATGGTAGAACTACCAGCAAAATGTGTAAAAGATTGGAAAAACAGCCTAGAAAGTTTAACATTTGGGCTACTTCCCTGTGAGTGACCAAAATAAAAAGAAATGTACACTAGTGTAAGGTTTTTAAGTACGTCACAAGTCTGTTAATTTCAAAATATCCCCCAAAAGCTGCTAAATCGTGCTGTTTGAGGGGGCTAAGTCATTGCTGTGGGATGCTCAAAAGCTGCTCAACAGTCCTGTTTCCAAAAGGTATTAAAACAAAAGTATTAGTCGGATAGGCATGTTTTGTGTTCGGATTGACATGTGGTGAAGAACAAAAACTGAATAAATTAAACACACAGTCAAAATCAAAATGGTTAGATGTCAAACATAGCCCCATTGAAGAAACAGAGGGTTTTACTCAGCATTGGGCCCTTTTTTTTCAGTGGAGCAAATTATGTTGAAATGAATGAAAGATCTTTTCATGATTCTGTAATTTGCATATTCAGTGAAAATATGAGCCCTCTCTGTGTGTTAAAAGCCACCTGCTTATAAGAATTCCCGAGAGGAAATTATAGATAGTTGGTCTCTTGGTTATATGTGCTTTTTGTTTACTTTTGTAAAGGTGCTTTCAGGGGTAAAATAAAATGGGACATTTGCCTTAATACAGAATCTCATGTAACCATAATGAGGATCATTGCAGAATACTGGTGAAGTGATGCCTCCTTTGTCTAACTAACTGCACATTATGGCAGGTTCAATAAAATAGTTTTCACTTGTGCATAATTAGCTTGCTTTATTGACAAAATCTGGTCACATGAAAAAGAGTTTTACCTGTAAGGCATTTTGTTCCTTCTTAGAACCTTCTCGTCTCTTCATAGTGCTAACTTTACTGTGAAATCAAAAACAAGCGCGTGACTGAACCAGTAAACAAATAGATGTGAAATGCCAATGCTGATGTGGAGTTGCATTGATGCCATGATAAGTATTAAAAATGTCTGACAGTTAACACGTGTGTTCACTCTAGATTAGATGGATTGACATGCTAATGCACTGATTAGGGTCTTAAAATGGAACAGTTGCTGCAATTATGTGCCATCAGTGTGGCTCAGCCTGGTCTAGTTAAGGTCATTTGCAATCTACATACCAGTGGTTTCCTTACGTTCATTCAGCAGTGAGTTACAACATCCCGTAGTTTACACTGACACTGCTACAAGACATAAAGCAAAAAATCTATGTACAATTTAGCCTAATGTGCTCCACACAGAATACGTTTTTAACAACTAGCACTGTTTTCTAAAACGTGGATATTGTAGCTGTTTCATACAAAGCAAGTACTCTTTTATTTCCTTGCTCTAAATATAAAACAGTGTTTGTGAAGGTAACTGAAAGCAGCAACAATGGAATATAAAATGTGTGTGATTTGTGTGTACGTGAGTGCAATTCGTGCATGCACACCCACGCACTTGCTTTGTCTAACGGTTGGTCTGTGCTGTGCAACACATATGTTCTGTTAGTGCTGGCTCATTTCTTTCATCAGGTGTTGCTGTTTAATCATGTGAGAGTCTGTGACCGTGTCTGTGTGTTTGAGACAGCATGTTTTGTGTGTGAGAGACCTGGGTTTTGCTTAAAAGGCAGCTGAAAAGCTTAAACTTGTCATCAAACCAGGACAACCAATTAGACTTTGAACCGACATAACTTAACCAATAACAACCAATATTATAAAGTTCATAACTGAAAGTAAAATCCTGTTGAGTTTCAGTATTTTGTATGGTAGATGCATTTTCTTTCCAGCTCAGTAAAAATGGCCTGTTTCTATATTCATGTCAAAAGCTTGTCCATCCACTCAGTTCAGTTCAATTCAATTCAGTTCAGGTTATTGCTTCATTTGAATGATCCTGCCTTCCTTTATATGTTCACTTTCATTCTTAGGCTAACTAATTAGATATTGACAAAATAATCAGCTTGAAATGAGGAGAAAACAGTGGCAGTTTGGAGAACAAGGTCTTTGCCAAACAGCAACATATTATTTTAATTACAGTTGTCTGAGAAACTTGATAGTCGGCTCTTAAAAAAATTAGTCCCTATACGTCCCCTGTGTCAACCCTCACATTTTATACCTTCAATGTAACCTATTTTCTTTCATTTCATTATTTAGAGAGTTACAATTTTACACTTAAGTATAATATTATTAGCCACAAGTAGACTTGTGAAGGCTTATAAAGAAATATTTATTTTTCTATGATTCATATTCATACTTTCGTCCTTCAGAGACTCTTCAGAAGTGGGGAAACATTATGTTATAGAGGAACTGACATCCATCTGTCATTGTGTTTTGACAGTGTCCAATGTGTTCATTCTGTTGGCTCTCTACACAGAAAGGCAGCTGTCGAAGGTGAGTGGAGTAACCCCTGCCTGCACTCAAACATCAGAGCACTGTGCATTTTAACTGAACTGTTGAATTCTGAGCACTTTAACAACTCCCAGGAGGGATTATTTTTCTCAAACTGTTCTCTGAAACTGACTGACTAGCTGAGCCTCCCCAATTGCATCTGTAAATGTTAAACGGTAAAATGAGAAATTAGTTTCACCATCTGCATTTAGGGCATATTCCGTTATGCTCTGCCGTTTGGCATGAATATGGAACTGCATGAGCTTTTGAAAAACTTTTAATTCAAGGTAATTAAGGTAGTTAGTCGGGTGATGGTGGTTTAAAATAGGACAACTTCACCTTCATCAGCTGTTGTGATTTAATGTTAAAACCCCTGCTGTCCCTCTCTTCCTCTCTCTTTCTGTCCCAGGGTTCATTCAGTGAACTTCTTGGATTTCTGGTCCATTGCATTTACCTGACAATCATGCTAACATTCCCTGCTGCTATGGTCCTATTGGTCCCCTCCATGACCCCAGGTAAAATATTTTTATTGTTATTAAAACACCATCCATGCAGGCTTGCTACTAACTACTGTACATAACACAGACAAATAGCTGACTAAAATAGTAGTATCTATAATGCTGCCAAACCATTATCCTTTCACTGGTAGTTTACAATGTAGTCATGTGTATAAAACAGAAAATAATGTAGTTGTAATAAAGATTAATCCGACATTCATATCCTTTACCCTTCAGGGAAACAGTGGACCAGTTTGATAGTGTCGTAAAATACATCTCTTATACAGAGTCATAATTGGAGTCGGTTAGTGGTAATGGACCAGTTGGTCATGACTGGATTATTTCCAGCTGGCTCTGAGAGGAGGAGAGAAGGGAGGAGAGGAAAAGAAAAGAGAGGAGAGATGCCAAAGTGGGTGTGGTTTTCAGTACAGGGTGATCCAAGGGTCATATTCTTCTGTCTTCATAAGACTGCCTGACAGAAACCATGGACGCCCTCCACGAATGATAGAATTCACCCATGATAAATTAGCAATACTTTATTATTTGTACTTCAATTATTTCTTCACCAAACGTAGAAATTGTTTTATAGCTAACGTATTGTTTTTTTTATTTTGGAGTAATAAAGGTGCTGACTTCTTATGTAGTTATCCAACTTTCACTATTCCCCTTGGTTGACTTGATGTAAATGTAAAAAGTAGGACCTCCAATAGGGACATGTGTTGAAACAACACATGTCCCTAGTGGGGGACATGTAATGTAGGGAACATGTGGGGAACATGTAATGAATTTGAAAATGTTAACCCTTTCATGCATGAATTATGACAGGCTCCGTCAGGATTTTTTTCATATGTGTTTTTATTGCTCTTTAGGCATGCAAAATAAAATTAGAATTTCATTTTTTTTTTAAAACATACATTTTTCAAGGAGTTTTTCACATGTCTACTAAGGTGGACAGCGTACACGTAAGGATTTAACTGAAGATATTTATTTAACAAACCAATGAATAAAATGTTAAACTAATGTGGTCACATATTTTAACATATTCCAATACAGTTTAATGCAATGCAGAAACGCTGAACCTCACTTCTGACTCCTCAGCCTCTCTTTCTCAGCATCCTCAGCTCCACTGTCACTGCTGCTAGCATTTGGGGGTCCACCTATTTCTGGCAGCCATTCATCATCACTGCCACTAGTATTATCCTCACTTTATTCTGATGGAATTTGCTCCACTATCCTGAATGCCTTTCTATTACTTGCTGCAACACACTAAATGTTATTCACATAATGGAACTAATCTGCACCAAATAATGTTTTTGTTACAAACACTGCAAGTTTTACATTCTGATAACATAAATCCATTGATTTATATCCAAAAAAGTTAGTGCACATAAAGTTATAGTAATTGTAGTTGAAGTATAGCCAGCGATGCATAATGTCCAATTTGTTGGACAGATGATTAATTGCAGTTTCCTCCCAACATAAAATCAATACTTGGAAAGTTTAACAATTGTATTACTCCTTAGTTGTTACTAGATGTTACCAATTTTTATTTACCTGCAGGGGTCTCCTATAATTGGAGGAATGGCAAGATTTACCTGAGCTGAACAGTGTTTCCGATCCTCCGTCGGCCATCTTGGTTTTGACGAATTTAAGTTGCACTTACAACGGCTTACCAGAGGGTGGAAGTGTATGGCATGGAACGCACTGTAGTTGCTGATATACAACTATATTACCAGAACATCTGCCTATTCAAGTAAATGGCTTTTGAATAGATATCCACTGTAGTGACCACTATGCGTGAAATATTTCACTGCAAAGGCCCCATTTCTCACTTAGCCTACAAATGTTCCACGTTAGGAGTGTTTCACACCATTAATATTAATAACAGATTTTTGCCGTTGTCTCAGTCCTTTATTCTTCAAGCTTTAGTTCGGACACCTCTAACTTCACCTTGACCATGAGACAGACTGATTTCTGGGGTCATTTGGCACACATTTCAATGTTAATACGGTCCTAGAAAATCATTGTTTTTATTATTTGCTCCTCCTATTCCTCTACTTTGATATATTCTCCTCTCCTCTCATCTGTTCTCTCAATGGGAGGTGAAAGAGTAAAGGAGTCAGTCCATCTGTCTGTCTGTTATGCTCTGCGCTTCTGCAGGAAGGGCAATGACAGAGGGCAGGTGTGTGTGTTTGTACGTAGGTGTATGGACAGATATGTGCGCGTGTGTGTGTGTGTGTGTGAGAAGAGAGCTATTGCATTTACCACACACTGCTTATGCAACCAGTATTCAGCCATTTTACATGAAGCAGATTACAAGGATCTGATATCAAGGTTCATTTCAAATTGTATGAAATTTCTTTGAGGAATACTGTAGTGATGAGAAACTGTTCTCGGCTGTCTACTGTCATTATTTCATTATTTCACTATTTCCTCTGCTTTTGATGTCCTCTAATGTGCACATGGCTGCTGTAAGGAATTTCTGGCTTCAGAATAAAAAATAGAATAGTTGTGTCTATCTTCACATCTCAATGTGGAACTAACTATGGACCCATTACATGTTTACAGTAATAAGCCACGAAACAAATAGTAAGGGTGATTAATCATATGATGCTATGCAATATGATACAATACACTGCCTTGATATTTGATACAATCTAATATAATATGAAATCTTATCATTTCAGTGATCACAGCGAGATCTTATTTAGAAATCAGATTTGCCAAAAGCAAAAACTGAAAATGAGTCAGACAGCCTAGTGTGAACACGGTGAAGTCCTGCATACTTGTTGTAAAACACACTGTAACACTCACGCTTATGTCGGTCTAATGTATACTGAGAGGTATTAAATAGTTCAACAGTTTTGTTGAACTTTGTTTATTGAAGTTTTCTATCTTTTATCATAAAACACACACAAAGCTTTCTGATTTTTCTGATCATTAAAGGAGAACAACGGTCTCTTTGGAGTATAAAGGAAGAGTTTTCCTCCAGTTTTTTTTAATGCAGGTACTCCAGTAGCTCTCCATGTAATTAATGAGAAAAGTAGATATCCTCTGCAGGTGCTGCCAAGGACACAGTGTCTTTTTAGATTTGAAGTGTAAGTCACATCTCCGATCCAAACTAAGATAATTGTCCATATTTCACAGGCTTGAAAACAAGGTGTGTCAAATTGGCATTCGAGGTACATACAGCAGGTATCATGTTACCCGAATGAGCTGAGCCAGGCGTTTCTGGCGGTGGAACGAGTTTCAACTTTTTACCCTGATCAGCGTACTCCCCCAAAGAGCAGAAGCACGTCTTGCTACAAAAAATAAACCATGTCAAATTTAAAATGAGTCAATCTAGCTGTGGTTTTTCAACATTTAAAGTGGATGGTTGTGAGTTCACAAACAAATAAATGATTTTGGTGGGAAATGGGGCGTGGGTGATGACTGGCTCCTCTGGTATGTTTTTCCACTTAAGCTCCTCCTCTTTGTGTTTCCATCATGGCTACAGTATCTATCTATCTGCAGTGCCCTTTTTGGAGCCAATCTGGTTTTCTAGAAGCCACATAGAGACAGATGGTTAATGGATAAGATCTGCTATGGTTTGATGCCAGGTGTGCTGACCCCCACCTCACCCTTGTTGGCACAAAGCAGGCGGTTTTTATGTGTGCGTTTCTGTGTGTGTGTGTTTGTGCACATGTATGTGTGTGTGTGGGTGTATGGTTGTTGGTGTGTGTCTTCCTCTCTGTTCAGCATGATCCTTTTCTGTCAAACATATGGTGACTATTGATAAAGCCCAGGTAGGCAAACTGCTCAGTTGGTCTGTGTGTGTGTGTGTGTGTGTGTGTGTGTGTGTGTGTGTGTGTGTGTGTGTGTGTGTGTGTGTGTGTGTGTGTATGTGTAAGAGCACACACTCAAAGGTTTCAGAATAAGTTTACTTATCTAACATTAAATCATTTTCTGTATTTGCTCACAAAGAGACAACACTGATACAGTTTTATGAGTGCACACACACACACACACACACACACACAACCGATCTAGTAAACATGGTGACTATACTGTATAATAATGTCCTTGGCATAGTTAGACTGCTCTCATAATTTGAGTTTAGATTATTTATTTTACTGGGCTTGTTTTGCAGTTTGTTCAAGATCAAATGACAACCTCTCTTTCTCGCTACTCCCTTCCTTGCTCACTCTCTAAATCTTCCCTGCTCTCACTTTGTTTCTTGCTGTCCCATCTCACTTTTTGCTCACTTCTCCTCCTCTGTCCGTCTGTCCCCTCCTTTCTTTTTCCTCCCCTCTACTGGTTGGCTTCCCCTCTTTTCGTCTTCTCATCTCCTCATACTTCTTTGCAGTTGGTTACATGTGCTGACACTACAGCTATATTGACATATCGACATCACAATGTTCATGTGATGTATCCTCTCTCTCTCTCTCTCTCTCTCTCTCTCTCTCTCTCTCTCTCTGCCAGTTGGAGGTGCGTTCGTTCTTGGTTCTTACACCATCCTCTTCCTAAAGCTGTACTCCTATAAGGATGTCAACATGTGGTGCAGAGAGCTGAGTGCTGCCAAGGCCAAGAAACTGGCCAGGTCGCTGTCTTGTAAGTCACAAACATGCCCATGCGTATTTAAGAGGTAAGAGAGGGTTTGCAAATCTAAATTTAAGACCTAATTGAGAATGGGCTCCTCGATAATTTTATGGGCAGTTTCTGTGTATATTTTAAATGTCTTTGTAGTTCTTAGCCAAGATGATCTTCCAGTTCCTTGCTCATGCTGTTACAGTGACATCTAATGGCAGATACTTGATACTGCAGATCTTTGATAAAATGGAAGTTTGACAGTTCAGCATACAAGGAACTGTCACAGTATTGTGTTGACATTTCGACAACAGAAACTGTGTAACTGTAACAGAAATTGTTGTATAACCACATTCACATAACCTGTCTTTATTTTTCTCTGTATTTCTATGTACAACTCATAAAATACAATGTTATCTCACACACGCTTTGCAGTGTCATGACATTGGGCATGTGTGTTTGTGGATTCATTCTGCAGGTCCCTCAGCACAGCACTTAAATGGAGGTGACCAAAAAGTGTGTTACCCTGGGAACCTCACCATCAGAGGTATTTAAATACATCGTTTATATAAAAACTACACTGATATTTTGGACATATAGTGTATTTTGACTAACTGTTACATTGAACTCCTCCTCTTTGCAGACATGTACTACTTTGTCTTTGCTCCAACTCTGTGCTACGAGCTCAACTTCCCTCGCTCTACTAAGATTCGCATGGGTTTCCTGCTGAGGAGACTGTTTGAGATGGTGAGGGAATATCTCGTGTCCACTCCAGCCAGAAAAAAAAAACACCTCTACTCTAGCTGTATGTTCACGTTTAAAAGGGGCCCCTTTCCCTGAAACTAAGTGCTTGGCATTTATGTGAATTCCCTCACATTTTTACAAGCATCTCCCACAAGAGTACACAGCTGTTAAGAACTTATAGTTTGCTTTACATGTTGTTGAAGGGGATGTAAGGAGAAATGTTGCTTATTTAAAGAAAAACATTGGGTCTTATTTTTGTCATTGTTATTAGTGGTTGTGATAATATTTTACACGTCAAGTAAAAACCCTGAGATCTGGGGACATGGGGACAACAAAGTCCAACGGGGCAAGGAACATGAGCAGTCAGAAAATCAGACATGTAAACCATCTCTTTCCAGACATGATACAGTTCAAAAAGCGTCACTGTTTGCTATATGATGCGCTTCTCATATTCTCTGTCGATCTTTGATAATTATTTATTTCAGTGAAATCGTGTCATGTTGATGTGTCTTTGTCTCCAGCTGTTCTTCACCCAGATGTTAGTTGGTCTCACTCAACAGGTACGGTCTTACAACGTAAACCAAAATGGATGTTTGCTGCTTTATTTTCCTGTCCATTCAACATGTCAAGTTTTTTATGCCATTATTTTTATATTCCTAAAAGTTAACAAAAACCTCACAATATGAGGTTTTTAAACATGAAGCCAATATGTAATATTCACAGTTTACAACACATATCTGAACACTGCTTATTACTTTCTTGCTATCAGTGGATGATTCCCATCATTCAGAGTTCCATGAAACCACTAGAGGTGAGAATGACAGTGAAGCTTATACTGCACAACATGGTGTCATGGTTTTTTTTAAATGCTGCGATGCATCAATGGGTCTCTTCTGTGCTCTGTAGGACATGGATCTGTCCAGGATGACGGAGAGACTTCTAAGATTAGCTGTGAGTACAAACGCAACAAATGTCAATACTACATGTAGAACCTTTTACTAATGTTTTTCTGTCATGCTTGCAGCAAGTTGACAGCCAGCCCACAGGATGAAATAACAAGCAGAGCATTACAAAGCACAACAGCAGTATCGAAAAAATATAACTCGCATTCATTTCTAGCAGAAGATCATGGTGAACATTGACATTTAATTGGTGTCTCCAGATGTTACTGTTACACAAACTACAGAGATAATACAGTGCATATTGCATATTGTCATGTATGCTATAGTGATTAACTCATTGTACATGAGAATGAATTATATCTCACAGTGGCTATGTTGGGAGTATGGGTAGGAAACATGCTCATCTTTTTTAGATCAGTCTTTTACTTGTAGTTAGTTTGGACATTTCCTCTTAAATGTCTCACTGTCATAAATTTTGTTCCTGCCCCAAGGTCCCTAATCACTTGCTGTGGCTGATGTTTTTCTACTGGTTCTTCCACTCGTCTATGAACTTCTCCGCTGAGCTTCTCCGCTTTGGAGACAGACAGTTCTACAAAGACTGGTGGTAAGTATGTGTGTGTGTTTGTCTGCTTATGGACTTTTTGAGGTGTGGCGGACTGTGCTGAAGGACTGACTGTATCTGTACAGTTCAAAGTTGCTGGATGCACTGGTATTTGCATGTGTGTGCGTGGGGATGGATTTGCAGGCACATCATGAATGAACAATTCAAAAGTGTATGTGTGGTAGATAATTTGCTGATATTAGTGAATCAATTTCATCTCTCAATGTACTGTAAGATAATTACTCTTATTTCTGCTTTTCCTGCATGACAATAAAGATTTTAGATGTTTTCATCATCAATATTGGTCAAACTACTTTAGATCCATTATTTAGACCCTGTAATGCTTCAGTACTGTTTTTCTGACTCGTCTTTCAGGAACTCTGAGTCGGTGACATATTTCTGGCAGAACTGGAACATTCCTGTACACAAGTGGTGTCTGCGGTGAGTCATTCGCAGACTAACACAATGAGAGGGTGCAATGAAATTTATAGAATTGAGCGAAGCTTAACAAGGCACACCGATGTGTGTGGGGAAAATGATTTGTCTGGCTCTAAGTGGTAGTAATAAATACTGTGCCTGCAGCCAGTTCCACATACACTAATATTGCAGCAGGAGCAAATCCAGTGAGTGAGTTACATTAAACAAGACAAAGTAAATGAAATGCTGTTTAGAGGATTTAAAGCCTTTGTAATATCTGTTGGAGAGGGCGATTTACAGCACATAAGAGAGTTAAGATATTTCAGCATTCAGTATTACACATTAAGAAACAGATACTAAAAAGCTGACTAAACAATGAAGTTAAATCTTTGTCTTCAGGCCATTTCTATAATCATTATCAGTGTGTTTGACTTTCTGATTTCCAGTATATGTCCATCCACCCCATTTCAACATATGTTTTTTGTCTGTGTTGCAGCCACTTTTACAAGCCACTTCTTAGGAAAGGATTTAGTAAAATAGTCAGCCAATCAGCTGTCTTCTTCTTGTCAGCTTTCTTCCATGAGGTAAGAGCTGAGCTTGACCACTTTCTCTGCTTATGTTGATATGGTAGATACACAGTATACACAGTAAAATGGGTGAAATGTTGGGTGAACTTTTTCTATGTTTGTTTGTAAAGCAGCTGTCTGGTTGTTGGTCTGATGTTTGCTGTATGACACCAGTGTTTCCCCTATATGCATTCTGGCGCTATTGAATCACGCCCGCCACTACAAAAATTTCCCACGATCATTAAACAACGCGCTACAAATGTTTTCACTCGCACACTGTGCGAGCACGGCAGCACTCAATGCTCGGCTCGCTTCCTCTCCTCGTTCTATGCAGAAGATATGCAGCGTACTCTGAATTAGGAGGTACGTAGCGAGTGTTGGATTGTCCGAGCGGCAGAAAGTGACGGTGAACGCGAGCGGAAGAAAATATTCTGGCAGTAAATGCACGGTGTCTGTTACAGTATGTTAGCTTCTCAAGACCAAGAAAAGTCTGTTGTCCTGTGTTGTCCCACCTGCTGGAAAAGTGAAGCCGGTTAACGCTAAGTTAACTAACATCTCCCCTCCCCTTCAGACTGCGCAGCTGAGCAGCTTCTACAGCAGCTACACAGCTGCTATGTAACTTAACATTAGCTCAATTTATAGAAAGTAACTGGAAGCTATATTTTATTACTGCCTACTTGTCCAATGTTGAATACATCAGGAACAAACTTAGACTAAACTGACGTAGCCTGCAGCTCTGTACTGTACAGACTGATTCAATTATTTTTCAGTTTTCAGTCTGAAAAAGTGGTTTTGGAAAAGAGGAGGTGGTGATTGGAGGAGCTGAGGTTAGTAAAGGTAATTAGTGATGCAAACTAGTCCTTTTAAGCTAATGAGGAGACGTTTCTTTTTGGATTTTAATGTGCAAATAAAATGCACCTCAGAAGGGAGGAGGTTTCTCATGTTGCCTATTTTTTATATTAATGTCTACCGATAAATGTCAGAAGCTGTAAAATGAAGACACAAAAGGCAAACATGAACAGTCGTATCTATAATGATTCTGAGGTCATATTAACTGGGTTTTCCTGCCTTTAAGGCTTAGGGGTGATGCCCAAAACATGCTGTGCCATCACTGTAAAATCACTGTGGAGCAACAGAACCAACCAAATTACTTAATTGCTGTTTGTCCTGCCCCCGCTGCTGAAAAAAATCCTAGAGGAAACACTGGACAAACTATGAATTTCCGAAAGGACTAATACATATATATCACCTATAAACGTAAAATAATCTATCAAAGCTTTGAATACTAAAATGATCGTTAGCTGCAGCCCTAAAACGATGTTTTGACCTATCGTTTGGCCCTGCAGTGGGTGTCACAGGACCCAGTTGATTGTAAATCAACAACACCATTCTCTAGTAGCCCAGACCTAACGTGCCTTTAGCCTGGGTTTAAATTCAACACTCAACCAAGAAAAGAGCACATACGTGGTGGCTTGACACGGCCTACACCTGTAGCTCGATAGGCAGCTTAATCTGAAGGCCGTGGCCTGCTCAGTAGTCCAGCCGTCATCCCTTTTAACTAGTTCCACTAGTCTTACAAATACTTACTAGCTATATCAGAAATGTTTCCCTGACCTTTAAAGGATACTTGAATCCTATCCTAACTTAAGCAAAGAGCAGAAACGGGGCAGCATGACCCAGCATTATATTTATATTGTATCTGCTTACGCTAAACTACAGTGACTGGCCTAACTGGCTCGATAGACAACTTCATCTGAGTGTCATCTACCATCTGGTTTCACTAGTATTTGTGTATAGAATACACTGTACCTTCAGTGTCCTCAAAACTCCTAATCCTCTTACAGGTAAATGTTATTGTGCAGATGTTCCGATAATATTTTATAGAGAACACAATACATTTGTTTGTTAATTAATTAATTATTAATTGTCTGTTTGTGTGGCAGTACTTGGTGAGTATCCCTCTCAGGATGTTCAGACTTTGGGCCTTCATGGGCATGATGGCACAGGTAAGACCCAACACATATCACTGATGACAAACTCACAGCTTTGGTTGGCACCAACCTGTACTGTAAACTGTATAATATGTATTGTGATCTGGGTTCACATTTTGTAAGAAATATCATCTTAATGTTTGAAAAGATTACAGAAAATTGGTATAGGTAGGATAGGGGCACTGTAGCATTTAGTAAATAGTTTGTTTGTGTAGCCCAATCATACTAGAAGTCAAAGTAAAGAAAAGTGGATGACATTCCTTTTGACTCCTATGCAATATTTAAAAAAGCTCTCCTCAGTATTTGACTTTGGCTCCAGTACAGTTAACTTAATTAATTACCTCATTAGCATAACAGGGCATATTTGATGTATCATCATGGGAAATGTGGCAGGATTATAGGCAATACAAATGTTCCTTGGTCTCTGCTGACTTTGTTAGTTTGTTATTCATTATAGTGAACAGAAATCAGAGAGAAATAAACACACAGAAAATGTGAGATGGTAAGAAACCCAATTACCCACTCTGCTTATTTCATTTCTATTTTTATTTACTCATAAGCTTCCATTAGCGTGGTTTGTTGGCCGCTTCCTGCGTGGTATCTACAGCAACGCTGCGGTGTGGATCTCAATCATCATTGGTCAGCCATTCGCTGTCTTGATGTACGTCCATGACTATTACGTCCTAAACTACAGACAAGAGGCTGACTGATATGCGTATGCGCACACACACACACACACACACACATACCATCTTTATCTCACTCTTTCTAGCTGTCTCTCTGGTATGCACAAACAAAAACATCAGCACCCAGTGGAGGTAACAGATATGTCAGGATGAACTGATCACATTCTGATCATGTTTACATTAGACATCTTGGCCATTCTATCTTTGGGGATGGTAAGAATAGCTAACAGGGAAAATAGTTTTTATATTTAAAGTAGAAATTGTAGAAAAATGTTGAATCTTGAAATACTACTTTAAGGAGAAAGGCTTCGATGTATAAAGTGATAAACTCATGCAGCATCTTGCTCAGGTGATTTTTCTTCCGGTGTCTTTTTAAAACCTCTGACGGCCAGTTGGGGCTGAAATGTTTGCAGAATGGATAAACTAATATATGTGGTACTGCAAAGACCCTTCCTTTGTTTTATCTTATAGGGTTTTGCTCCTCTTCAGCTCTGTGCAACAGTATGATGACTGTGGCTGAATTTGATCAAGTGCCTTTTGTAAAAGTTATTACAGTGATTTAATCCAATGGGTTTCCTTGTTCCCTTTTTGTGAGCCAAAGGCACCTTAATCTGTCTATAGTAATGTGTGCTGGTAGGATTTTTTAATGTACGATTTTTGTTTTTCTACGATGTTTTATTTTGTCATTTATTAAAAAGGTGCCGTTACAGTAATACATCACTTATCCAATCACTCACTTTGTGAAAAATAAATTTTTTGTCATGCTACTATCTCATTAGACTGCTGCCCAGTAGTAATGTCTAATCATGTGTCTAAATACAATGTATGTTTCTGAAAATAAACATTCAGAGTACAGTTTTCATCTTATTGTGTGTTATTTTTGTGCTGATGTTTAAATGTGACATTTCTAAGCAGATCAAGGTAAATAACGATTAAAAGCAAAAGATCACACCTACAGACAAAGACAGGTTCTCTTCTTGAAACTGAAACTCACACAAGACACAGAGAGCCAGTAGAGAAAGCACAATTTTCTTAACGTCCATACATTTGTTATACAGTAGCTGACTAATATATGGAAATATTTATCCAATAATAAATAATGTGAATAATAAATCCACATACATTATGTAATTAAATCATCCAACATAAACATCTCAAAACATTGCTATTCCCCTTTAAACATAAGTTTACAATTACAGAAATGTGGATATTACTCCTTGGAAAGACATAAGGAGCTTCACGTAGCTCACTGACCAGTTTACATCATAGATTGTATTGAAAGGGGGTTCACATAAGGAGCAATGGCGACACCCTCTGGCTAGCCGAGGCTACTACACAATAGCGTCTGCACATGGTCTAATAAACACGATACGAACACTCCTTAATTCAATGTTATAGGTGTCACTGCGTAACTTAGACATCAGAAGGCTCACACCAGTTAACTTATTATTTCCTGCAGTGTTTTACAGCATGAACATTGTGCTAACATTAGAAATCTCACTCACCACGCTGGCCACATGTGAATGCATGTTAACTCTACAATACAGAAACAAACACAACAAAGTTACAGTCACTTACTTTTCGTAATTAACTCAACACACGGAATATTGGAAGCTGGATCATTCAGGAGGAAATAAACATGCTAATCGTCACAGGTACGTGGGTTAAACTATGCTCATTGAACTTTCCCACTATAAGGTTTCCGTTCCCACTATAGCCAACCCACTAGCTACACACTTCCCCCACCGTAACCACAGAAGAAGAGTCTTAAAGCGGCAGGCACCCAGAAATGTCAGAGCCTTTTATACAGCCGCCCCCAAATGTGCAATGCACATTTGCTTCCAATAAAAGGCTTATCAGTCAGGTTGAGGGGGGCTCACAGAGGTGTCGTCCTCTCCGGACGGGAGAGCAACCACTAACCGAGCTACCGGTCGGGTGTACACATGTCCTTTGATGTCCACATCAGCGGATCTAATACACCCATCGTCACTGCGGTGAATCTTGGTTACATGCCCAATGGGCCACAGGGCTCGAGGCAGCTGCAGGTCCACCAACATGACAACGGCCTTGTCCAATAGTTCAGGAGAAGAGCTCAGCTATTCTGGCGCCTACAAAGACCTTGTAGCGGCAAGACTGGGAGTGCAGCCAGGTTAGCACTGTAGTGGAGTCTGACCACAACACAGTACGATCCACTGTCAAGGTAAGTTCCCTCTCGAGGACACGAGCTAGCTGCACTGCAACCAGAGCTCCACAGAGCTCCAGGCGTGGGATCACAGGTCCAGGCTCTCTGATCTGGCCTCTTGAGGCAAATGGCTCAGGATGCTTGGATCGTTGCAGGCCCATTGACGCAACTCGAAGCCCGCAGCGGTCAGAAGATCCCTCAGCCGATCCACCAGCAGCTTGGCTTCACCTGGTGTACACACACTCTGCAGGCAGTTATCGACGTAAAAGCAGTTCTCGACAGAGAATCTCAGGTTGTCATCAGGCTGGCAGTGGTCAACAACATGACGCTGCAGGGCGTATGTCGCACAGCAGGGGCTGCAGGTAGCGCCAAAAGGCAAAACTTGCCACTCAAATGTTCTTGGGGACTCTTCCACCTTCAGGTCCCGCCACAGGAACCTTAGGAGAGGACGATCTTCAGGGATGAGGCGGACTTGATGGAACATCCCCTTGATGTCGCCACTAACAGCTATGGGATGTTCGTGAAATCTCACTAGGACCCCCAGCAACGGGGCACCGAGGGTAGGGCCAGGTAGCAAGTACTGGTTCAGGGTCTGTCCGAGGTATGGGTGTGAGCAATTAAAGACAAGGCGGTTCTTTCCGTTGTGGCTGACGAGGTGATGTGAGATGTACCAGCACAGCACCTGCTTCAATCAGCTTCTGCATTTCCATCTTGTAGGCGTCCGCCAGTTTGGGGTCTTTCAAGAGACGCCTCTCAGTACTACGCAGCATTGGCATAACTGACTCCTTCGGTGAGTGCAAAGGGGGCATGTTTGCATGGCGCAGCAATGGTGTGGCGTACCTGAGAATTCCATCTACCTTAGTGCGGACAGTCTTGACTTCAAGCAATGCTACAGCCTGCTGATCCTGCTTTGACCGAGTCACTTCTCTCTCATGTCGGTAAGGTACAGTGTCTACTTGCCAGAGCCTCTCAACATGCTTATAAAGCTCCTCCATTGGTGGCATAGATGAAGTGAACAGACACTGCGCAGGTTGGATGGGCCGCCCCATGAATGGGGTGGGGCCTTGAAGAGTCCACCCAAGCCTGGTGTGAACTGCGGCTGGACAACCCGGTGGACCAAGTCTGACGGGCTCGACAGGTATTATCAGCTGAGGGTTGTCGGAACCTACCAGGAGTGTTGGCTGAGCGTCTCTTAAGGCAGGTAGGGGGATGCCACTCAGGTGTTTGTATTTCCGCTGCAGGCGGTCGATAGGGTAAGTATGGTGCGCTAAGCTGAGGCGGCCAGCTGTGAAGGCATCATTGATCTTGTAGTTAGTCTGAGGGTTTGCAGCTGGTGAGACTCGGAAAGACACTGTGTGTCCATGGAGTATCTGGATGTCTTGACGGACTGTACGCAGAGGAAGAGCTTCAGGAGTGCCCTTTATGCCAAGAAACTTAGCGGCTGCTGGCAACAACATAGTCCTCTCTGACCCATCATCGAGGATTGCAAAGGTGTTGAGTGTCCGGTCCTGATGGTCAGTAGTTGTACACCTGCTCTAAAGGATGCACATACTGTATTTCAAAAGAGTGGAGAAGCGTGCACAAACGTATTCTCCAAACGGGCCATGCGTTTTGTGGTCCAGTGAAGTGTTCAGTCAGTTAAAGGTGAATCAGATGTGAAGTATAGGGACTCTGTCGGTCAATCCTTCTGCCATCTTTACAACTATATTGTTATCAAATTCAAGACTCAGTTCAAGCTGTGAAGGCATCCATACTTCAGTACCTCCAGGCTGATAATTCAGCTCTACAAATCTGGGGTGATTTAGTTTTTCCTCTGTGTTTGCCCCTAAACCGGGTCAAAAACTCCACCAGCTCTCTTCTCACTGCTCCTGTACCAATGGCGGAATGACCCAACAAAATCACTCACATTCTGCAACACTGGTTGAACATACTTCACCCTCATCCCAAATCATTACTCGTGCAATTTCCAGCATTTTTTTCTTGCACGTTTTGTTCTTAGATCACATTAAAACTGGCAGTTTAAAATCAGTTTTGACATGGTAAATGACATTTACCATGTCTCAGCGCTGTCAATACAAAGTCTGTTTTAATTCTCACATTCTCTTGTATTAGTTTCAGCCACAGACATTTAACACACCACGTGTCAGATGTACAATCATTGTCAGTGATATTCATCATGATTAGGCTACCTACCAGGCTTAATTTCAAACTTAAGACATTAATAAACATCATTTCACCACTGTGCCACTGGGCATCTCAGCCACAAAATGTGGTATTAGAGCGTGGGTGTGTGGGTGCGCACACGCACACACATGCGTGTAGATTTGTCATCCAGAAATGCGAGGACAGGACTGTGAACCTGTATTTTGTCAGGTTGACAGTGAATTAAACAGCAAGTCTGAGGCAAATCACAAAGTTTCTGTAGGCATGTGTGGACGTGCTCTGTAAGTGTGACATTCGGTTAAACAATCGTCAGTGGGGATTAGAGTGTAGATGTGAAAGGAGACATGGCTTTGCAGGATACACGGTACAATATAGAGAATCTACCCCACAGTCAAAACGTACTACCTCATTTTCTCCATTAATCTTCTTTGTTTTAATTCCAAGAATTTTAATTAATTAATTCCAAAAAAGGACTTGATATTTCAGCAAAGGGTGTAAAGCTAATCTGGGACCCATCTTAAAGCATGTTAGCGCTCATGTGAGGACCCACTGGAAACAAGCACATTTACAAGTATTTATTGTCAAGGTTTAGGGAAATGCTCACCTACTCTATGTTAATGAGGTGATTTATTTTGTAAGTAGTAAAATAAATAGAAAACAAACCCTCAACACAGTATTCTAAAAAGCGCAGAAACGTCATCATCTCTCGTCTATCATCAATATTCAGATGGCTCCTGACAGAAACAAAGCTTTGTAGTTCCCCTAGTTGGACTGAGTCATGTATATGCATATTTCTCTGTACTTGCACACACACACACACACAAACATACTGTATGTCATCTAATGATCCATCTGTCATGTCTACACCTATACATACCAGACACCAAACAGACACACTGTACTCATTTTGTCTTTGTCTGCTTGTCTTTGCCGTCCCTTCTTCCCACCCTCCTTTCTGTCCCCATCCTGCACCTTCTCTTTGTGTTCGTCCGCAGTAACAGGTTGATCCATGGCTCTCCTCCTGACATCCGTTATTCCGGATCTTTCCAAGGGACGCTGACAAGCTTTGAGTGATGATGATCCTCTAGACAGGAAACCGGGAGACACAAACCTGTCTCATTCTGCAAGATGGATAGAGCGCAGGTCCAGGGACACATCATTAGGGGACAGACTGAGCCTTACATTTCAGCACAACTTTCAGTTGGGCCTATATGTATTTCGATTCATGTATTTAAGTGATACACAAAACAATACAGTGTGTCCTAAATAGCAATTTGCTGAACAAGTTGAATCATCTTGAGAGAAGTTAAGATGATATCGTCTGTCTGTTTTTTCACTTTTAGTGAAAGCAAGTGTCAGGATCAGAAGAACATCAAATTCACTTGTTAAGCCTTATTTATTTGTAGTTTGAGCTCAGCAGAGTGAGGTGAAAAGCCTGTTCAGGTTCAAGATGTTGTTTTTTGAGTTTATTTTTAATATATCACTATGAAAGTGATCATGAAAAAGCAGTGGTGTTA